ATGTCCCTAGATTTTCTCAATGGTTCTTTTTGAGCTTTACCTACTTTCTTAATGAACCGACGTAGGGGTATAGTCTGTCTCAGCCCATGGAGTTCATGTAGGTGAACTAGTCTAAAGATATTACGTACAAAATATGTCCCTAGATTTTCTCAATAGTTCTTTTTGAGCTTTACCTACTTTCTTAATGAACCGACGTAGGGGTATAGTCTGTCTCAGCCCTTGTAGTTAATGTAGGTGAACTAGTCTAAAGATATTACGTACAAAATATGTCCCTAGATTTTCTCAATAGTTCTTTTTGAGCTTTACCTACTTTCTTAATGAACCGACGTAGGGGTATAGTCTGTCTCAGCCCATGGAGTTCATGTAGGTGAACTAGTCTAAAGATATTACGTACAAAATATGTCCCTAGATTTTCTCAATAGTTCTTTTTGAGCTTTACCTACTTTCTTAATGAACCGAAAGTAAAATCACTGGTGGGGCTTATATGAATTATTTGAACAAATTCAGGGAATGACTTCGTCTCTAATGTTTTCGTAGCAGTACTTAGGCATATTACGAAGACCAAACTTATCCTTTACAAAAGCAACTTTATAATGCACTCCTCTGTAACTGGCGTTACACGGCTATTCAAAAATGGAAGTGGAACGCTAAAAAACAGCTGTAACCACTATTCCCCATTTGGAACCTTCTTTGGCCATTATTTGAATTCTCACAGCAAAAAAGTATTAATGCCTCAGATCTAATAGGGTAGACGTTTCACGTTTCATGCGTGCAATTTAGCAATTATGTTACTTTACCCTTTTCGCTCGTGTGTTTTAGCAATGTATAAACTTTTTACGTTTTGACACGTGTGTTTTAGCAATATATAAACTTCTTCATTTTGACACGTGTGTTTTAGCAATGTATAAACTTCTTACGTTTTGACACGTGTGATTTGCCAAATATGGAAGCTTCTTTCCCTTTCACGCGCGTATTTCGCATACTACATAAATTCTAACTTTTCATGCATGTATCTTAGCAAGTACTTAAACTTCTCCCTTTCATGCGTGTACTTCGCAAAGTATGTAAACACCCCCTTTCACATGTGTATTTTATCAAGTGTCTAAATTTCACTCTTTCACATGTGTATTTTTAACTAGTATGTAAACTTCTTTTTTTCACGTGTGTGTTTTAGAATTCAATGCGTAAACTCCTTCTCATACACACGTGTATTGACAAATACTCAACTAAATAACTGAATTATATTTATCATTCATAATATATCTTGGTCCTGATTTTAAGTGAGTTGACTGGATTTATTTTTGTAAACTATGGCATATCATAACAATTATGTTGTAAGTTCAAGGGAAAGACGTACAATATTTAGCAATGGAAACAATTAATTGAAGGATGCTCCCTTTATTATTGACTTTCCTCATAGCCAAATCTGTATAGATAAGTAGTCATAAATATATGCAAACTATATATTAATCCTTTATAGGAAAACCATGTTGGCTTCTAGCTTTATGACGACCGTTTTCAAGGTATCCAATAAGTGTGTCAAGGGTAATCCCCGATCCAAATAGTTGTTTCTTGAAATAAAATTAACATGTTGAAGCGACCGAGGACGATTTGTTTTATTGTGACTGTGTCAAGGTAACAGCAAGCGCATGTCTCTTGCGCACAAGCATTTGTGCGTGTTCAATGAGGATTGACGAGCTATTAGTATAAAAAAGTACCAGCTTTTAAAAGCTTTTCCCTTTTTTTACATTATTATTTCTGGGTTAAAAATCACGCTTCAATAAGATATTTGGAAAATATTCTGAATCTCCCTTCACACACTCCCTCTTGCCATGTAACTGTTTTAATTAGTGCATGTTTTAAATGTAATATTAGATATATCAATTTTGTGATCAATGACTTAGTTTCAGTTGCTTATATTAACTTAATTTTGACACGTTAAGTTGTTTTTATGTTTGTATAGAGTAGCTGCACTAACTTATTCTAATATTATTAAGGTTGACCGTCTTTATGTTTATAGAGTGGTGCATTAACCTACTCAAATACTAATAAAGTTGGTCGTCTCTATGTTTGTAGAGTGGTGCATTAACTTACTATAATACTAATTGTAACGAATTTGTTATTGTGTATTTATTTTAATATCAACGTTTGTTTAGATTAAATTTATATTTAGAAACATACATAGCTTATATTGTTAAATATGTATTACGAAACTCCCGCCTATTCTCCAAAGTTGAAGAAGATTTACGAGAGTAAGAATCAACAATACACATGTGTACGTAAACACTTGTGTTAGCGTCAGTATTGTTATGTAAAACTGAAATTTCTTGAAAGCCTCTACACGCCTATAAATATAATCAATGCGATGCGCCAAAAAAAAAAGCTATCTATTATTAGTTTGCTATAAACTTCGGAAGCTATAACTGTGATTGTTATAACGCTTATAAGTCGGAAAACTTCAGATATTTGATCAGGAACCTTTACAAAATTTGAACATTACAAATCAGTTAACTTCAGTGGATTCTCATCGAACATTAATATTTTTACGAAAACATTACATAACGTCACGGTGGAAAACCCGGCGTGTATGGCTGGTGGATAACGAAGGACAAAGCTAGCTCCCTGTAAAGTTAATTATACCTACGTCAACTCGTAATCAAGTGGTTCATGTGAACCCTCGATAAGATATCGAAGAAGTTCCAGACTAAAAGAAAGACTTTATATTGCTTGTAAGTTTGTGAAACTTTTGTTTATAAATCATTGTTTGTAATAACTGTTATTGTAAATTGTATTGTTGAGTGTATATTAAAACATATTTGTGTTAAAAAAGAAAACTGTGTGTATCAATCTTGTTGCCAAATATCATAAGCTGACTATATATCGGCCATTCCTTAACTACTAAATCCAAATTACAATTTAACTACTAAATTTAAATTTATGTTTATAGAGTGGTGCATTAACCTACTGTAATACATTATTAAAGTTGGTCGTCTTTATGTTTGTAGAGTGGTGCATTAACCTCCTGTAATATTAATAACGTTGATCGCCTTTATGTTTATAGAGTGGTGCATTAACCTACTGTAATACATTATTAAAGTTGGTCGTCTTCATGTTTATAGAGTGGTGCATTAACCTCCTGTAATATTAATAACGTTGATCGCGGTTATGTTTATAGAGTGATGTATTAGCATACTCCAATACTAATAAAGTTATACTGTTATTATGATTATAGGTGATACAATGATTTACTATAATATTAATAAAATTTGTCGCCTTTGTATTTGTACTGTGGTACATTAAATTAGTATTAACTTACTGATAATAGGTTCGTCTTCAACTGTTTAGAGTGGAAAGTATAATCTATCGTTCACATTGAGTCAAATTATATTGTATTTAATCCTAGTGAGTGATATTCCAATGTACTTATAGTACGTTATCCCTTATTCGGTAATTCTGTAATGTGTTTATGGAGCTTTATCCTTTACTGAGTAATTCTGTAATGTGTTTATTGAGACTTATCCTTTACTGAGTAATTCTGTAATGTGTTTATTGAGACTTATCCTTTACTGAATAATTCTGTAATGTGTTTATTGAGACTTATCCTTTACTGAGTCATATTTTAAAATACATACAGTACTTTTAATGGCTGGAGGCGGCTTGAATGGGTAATGAAGAAAAACTTTAATATAAGTTTAACATAACAGCAAATTTGAATACAGTACTTTTCTTTTATGAATTAACAATGTAACATATTTATAGTATGTTATACGTTACTGAATAACACTCCATTGTATTAATAATATGTTAAACCTTATTACGTAACATT